CTGGAAGGCAGAGGGAAGCCGTCCAGTCCTATCTGAGTTTTGGAGAGTTGCCCTAGCAGGGGAGTAGAAGATGAACTAGAAGCTGAGGAGACCAGAGGATCCTGAGGACGTGGTTTCAGTAACCCTGGTGAGAAATGACATGGCTTATCTGAAGGCAGGTGACAAAGAGGGGCAGAGGAGGTAAGAAAGCAACACCCCGAAATAGCCTTTGTTGTCTAACTTGGGCTCCTGGGTGTGTTGTGAATGTGGCAAGAGAGAAGTTCTCAGATGGATGGGTAAAGTAAGTTGAATTTTAGAAAGTGCTTCATGTCTTCTTCTGGAAAATGGGGTATGATAAATGTATCAATCCCATAGGATTATTATGAGGATTAAATGACTCGATGTATGTATTTAGAATTTAGAATGGCATTTTGCATAGTGTAAGGGCTACATGTCAGTAAAAACCAACAATAATATTATTAAATAGAGCTGCCTGAATGATGCTGAGTGGGGAGGTGCAGACAGACGTTAAGAATCCACGTGGATTTTGGCCGCACCAGCGCCTACGTGACAGTCGAAATGGCAGATAAGATCTTGTAGGGAGAGTACATGGTGAGAAAAGAGAACAGGGTCAAGTTCAGGCCCTTGTGAAGACTAGCATTTAAAGGTATGAAAGAACAGGACCCAGAGAAGGAATAACCAGCCCTCCATATCCATGGGTTTTGTGGATTCAACCAACCTTGGATTGAAAATAGGAAAAAAAAAAATTCCACAAAGTTGCAAAAAGTAAAACTTGGGTTTGCCGTGTGCAGACTACCATGTTGAATCCACATGTGTAGGCGCTGCGTTTGGTATGAGAGATCCAGAGATGATTTAGAGTATACAAGAGGGTGTGTGTGGGTTATGTGTAAATACGACGCCACTTTCCATCAGGGACTTGAGCATCTGTGGTTTTGATATTGTGGGAGCCCCGGAACGAACCCCCCATGATACGGAGCGAGAGCCGTATTCATCTAGTACATCCACTTAAGCAGAAATTGTTTCTTTCACATAATGACCACCGCAAGGAAATGGTAAGGAGAAAGTGGGATCTGAACTAAAATTTGGACTGTCGTTTGCACAGGGTCCTGCTTCGAAAACTACAGCCACCTCAGGTAGACGAATATCCACGCCTGACTCCTGCAACTTGAGGAAAATATCTAGTCCGAAAGCCAAAGTGGGCCCTTCTGTTTCCTGTTTGAGGCGGAACAGCGACAGTAGAAATCTCAATTCCGATCGGGCTTTATCTCCTCAGAGGATCTGGCGTGTGACCACTTCTGGTAAGAAAAAAATTGTCAACTGTGCTTATAGTAGTTTATGAATTACTGGAAAGTGAAATTAGAAAGATAGTTTTGGTTATAGGACTGACACATTCTGTCGCTAAAGCATTTAGCCTTCTGTGGACCAGCGTCCTGAACCAAGAAGGAAGAAAAAGACAGGTCTCTTATCGCTGAGCAAAGCCAAGGCTAGTTGGGGAGACATAATGAGCATAAACCAAGTTATAAGCTGTTCAGAAGGATGCATACATAAACATGCAATTGGGCAGTTGTTGTAAAT